TTGGAGTAGTGTCCATGCTGTTTGGGTGTGCATTTTCTGTCTTTCTATTGTTTCTTGGCATCTTTTGCGCCATATTACCCAGAGTGTGGCTTTTCCGAGTATTCTGAAAAAGTTCTTTTCCAGTGGGCTCCACTTTTCTGGGTTTTTGAAGCCCAGTAGTAGAAGTATGCTGTTGTTTGTGAAGGTCGTGTCAGTTACTATGTTCCATAAATTTGCTACCTTTTGCCATAGTGGTTGTATTCTTGGACAGTGCAGGAAACAGTGGTATAGATTTTCTATTTGACCCTCCCTACAGTTGGCACATAGCTCTTTTAGTGGGCTTCTGTCTTCCTTCTTTCTCCTTTCGTTTAGCCATTGGTTTAGTGGGACTGCCAGGTAGAGGATTAGCCATTGGAGGCTTCTGAATTTAGGAGGATTTATCGACGCTAATTGGTTCCATGGTATCGGTTCTAGTGCTTCTGGTTCCGCGTTCAGGTGTCTTCTCCAGCGTTCTGTTATTATTGGGTCTGGGTTTACCGAACGCCGTCTTAGTCTATAGCCTAGCCTAGTTGTGTATTGTAACAGGTTGAATTTGGTGTTGATTCTTGAGCTTTCTTGTTTTAGGTTCCAAGCCCATTCTGCTGGGTCCACTTCTAAGTTCTCTAAGGGGGTTTGGGGGCAATAAATGGCTAACTCTTCGTTTTCAACTACTCTTACCTTCCGGAGGTTATCTTCCCGGACTGAAACTTGTGCTGTCTGCTTTTTGTTGATTCTGCTGTAGTCTGCTCCGGGCTCTTCTATTTCGTGCATAATAAATATGATCCAGTTCTGTTTGTCCTTTTCCCTGCCGTAATAGGCTAGGGCGTGTTTTTGTTGTGGGTCACTCGGTAAAACTGCCCAGTCCCCTGTACTCCATTGTCTGTCTTGTCTTAGTATTGTAACCCATTCTTGTGGAATGGATGTTATGACTTCCTGTAGGTTCTGGTTTAGTCTGTGGCACCCCTTGAGCTGTTGTCTAAGTTGGTTGCCTTGTTTCCATTCCCTCGCGTTGTCATCCCAGATGTGTTGGATCTGCCATATCCCTTTCTCCAGCCATGCCCCCCATTTTGTGTCTTTTGAGGTCAGAGTGAGTGGGTTTCCATTATCTCTTGTTATCCATTGGTTACAGAATAGGGGTTGTCTTAGGATTTCTTCATTGTTACCCGGCTTCCTGACCTTAGCCGGGAAAATCTCTCTCCAATCACAAATGACCCCTTTCCAAAACCCTAGTCTTGACTCTTTCCTTGAATGTAATCTGGTGTACTCCCCACCTTTCATTGACCATGATTTGCTCATTACCGAGAACGTGCCCTCCATATTGGCTGGGGTGTTGTATATTTGTAATTGTTTTATCCCGTCCAGTGCTAAGTCTCTCCACGGTAGGGTAGGCCTGGAGATGAGCTTGAGGATCCATTTGGCTTGCAAGGCTTTTATCTGGGTTGTGGTCTTTGTTTTCCATCCAAGCCACCTTTTATCGTAACTATGGCTGATTGCTTACTCTTGGGTAATCTCAGTGAAGAGTTAGTCACAGACAGACAGAGAGAGAGAGAGAGAGAGAGAGAGACA